CAGCCCCTTTTTTTTTTCCCCTCCCCAGCCCTCCCTGTCACACACCTATCAGGCTGTAACGATTCCGCTTGGCTGGTTTTTTAATACCTGTCCAGAGGATGTCTCTGTGCTGACAGAACAGTGGGCAGTAGACACATGAGGAAGGTGTGTGTGAAAGGACTGACCTGCTTTCTCAGCACAAATCCAGGTCATCTTTCATAAGGTGCAGATTGAAGTCTCTATGTCACCGCGGTCACGTGGTGGTGAGGGGTGCTGGTATAAAACTTGAGCTGAAGGTCCAGTTGTGTGTGATGTCACAGAGGAGTGATAAGCCTTTGATTCCTTTCTGTGTTGAGGAATCCTGCCAACTACCTTCATCTTGCCTCAGGAGTCTCCATACTCTTGAATTTTTGATGCATGAGCAAGAACATTTATCTCTTTGAGGCACCTTCTATGAAAGGTCTTATGGTTTTCTCAGCATAGTTTACGATATCCTGGGTGTGTTGCATCAAGTACCTGATGTCAATTGCTCACAAAGACCCTGCCACCAAAAACCAACGTTAGCTGCTGCTTTTCTAGTGCCCTTGAACACCTTGGAGAAGGCACCAAGGTGGCTTATTGCTGGTTGAACCTCAGTACGGTGAGGTTGAAAGAGAAATCTTCTGTTTGATGTTTTTCATCAAGCTTCAGGGGGTTGGTTTCACTGGGGAGGTTGGATGTTCCATGGAGGGTCAGTGAAATAAAAGAGGAAATCTACAGTGGGGTGCTCCAGGTTGAACCTTGTTTGTTACAAGTCTCTGCAGAGCTTGAGGGTGTGTTCATTGTTTCCTTGGGTGACATAGATCATTGGCCTCCAGATTTTTGGGATTTCCTGGCTTGCTGCTGGGGTGTTTTGTAACCAAGATCCCTCTTTAGAGTTTTGTAGTTTGTGTCAGTCACGTTGTGACACAATTTGTGGATGTAGTTTGAGAATCTACTGCTGGATAAATCCTCGTGTGACAATTCATACAGATATTTGAGGATCTTGCAGTCTTTACATTTACCACAAGGAAAAATAAAGCTGTGAACACAGACTAGAGATTAATTCTTTTAAGCCTTGCTCCTGGTCCAGGCAATATATTTTTGCCCTAAGTCTAAAAATAAAATAAAATTGGCAATTTTACCAATAAAATTCTCAACTGCAGCTGCTGGCCCAGACTTCTGCCCAGTATATCAAGGAATTTGAAATCACTCAGTGTTTTTTAACTTGCTAATTGGATGAAGTCAAGTAGTCTGAAGCTTGTTGACCTATTATTTGAAACAGTGGAGTTTATTTGGCATTTATGACTTAAATATCAGGAGTATTTGTGCTCAGTTCAATTGTCTCTTTCCTGTCCTGGAAGCTGCAAAGATGTAATGATTATAAATTGCTTGTACTTGTGTTCTGGTCCTTTCAGTGACCAAAGAGCTTCTTGGCCTTCATGCCCTAAAACTTCTACTTGTAGGTTTCAGGATCAAACTTTGAGGGTACTTGAAAATATGGACAAAAGTTGTTCAGCTGGAAAATTACTTTATCAACCCTTTTTTTATTTTTTTAGGATCCAGAGCAGCTTCAGGACAAATCCAATGAGATCCTGACAGCCATCATCCAGGGAATGAGAAAGGAAGAGCCCAGCAACAATGTGAAGCTAGCAGCTACTAATGCACTCCTGAACTCTTTGGAATTCACCAAAGCAAATTTTGACAAAGAGGTGAGGGGGGGTAGGGGGAAAACAGTAAAAATAACTGTAGAAACAACCCTTGGCCTAAAACTCAAAGGCTGAATCCAGGGTCTATGATGAGAAATCATGCACCACGCTGAATTTTGATGCATAATTCCGTTGCAGCTGAGACTTGGATTCATTTCTGTCCATCCGGTTTGTTCTTGTTGTGATGCAGAAACGTTGTGGAAAAATCTTCAGGGATTCATCAGTGGAAAGGAAGCAGCATTGACTTTTTTCTTTCTTTCGTTTTTTGGATAAATTTGAACTGACCTTAGAGTTGAGCCTATTGGATGCTCTGCTTCCTAATCAAACTCTATAATGCTGCTGTAAGAGTACAAGCTTGGATCAGCACTTTCTTTCAAGTGGTGTGGCAGCAATCCAGATTTAACTTTGCCTCTGAAAATTGGTGGGGGAGGAAGGTCTGTAAGAGTCTTCAGAGCAGGGGCCTCCTAAAGAGTCTTTTCAGAGCAGAAAAATCTATTGATTTTTCTTTTCCCTCTCAGATTAAGTCCATCCTCTGGGTCTTTACCAGGGAGAATACGGGGAAGATGGAATTAATATTGAACCTTCAGCTTAGAAGGTCTTTTATTGAAAACTTTCCCTAGTCAGGGGGTGTTGATGGGAATCAACTAGAGTCTTTCAAAATTTGAGATGGGAGCTGAATGATCCTTTTAGACTGTATTTCTGTGGGGCTTCAGGACTGTAAAGAACCTGGGCATAAATCTGTTCCTTCCTACTGAAATACAAGAATACCCAGGTACTGCTCCTCAAGAAATTTATGTCCTGGGTGAGTTTTGAGGTTTCTTGAAGCAATTGCTGAAATAGTTCAGGAAACAGCAGAATTTCTTCTTAGTTGTTTGGGGTTTTTATTTTGTTTGGTTGTTTTTTTAAACTAGACCAGCTAGTATCTTTAGTTCTGCTGCATCTTTCTATTTTGGATAGCCTGTTAAACACTATTTAAAACAGAAGCTTGGGATTCCCATTTTGGGGAAGAAATGATTTAAAATCCTGCAGTGAATTGTAACCTGTACTATTCCTTGATCTGTAGAATTGCTCTACCAAAAATTGTACTAGTCCAGACTCAAAATCCATCCTCCATAGGAAGGCTTGCAAAGACTTTAATGCTTTTGTAATACAGTTCTAATTTTTCTTTTATTTCTTCTTCTAGTCTGAAAGGCACTTTATTATGCAAGTAGTCTGTGAAGCAACACAGTGTCCAGATACAAGGGTGAGTAAAAATAATACAAGGATGAGTGAAAAGTGCACTAATTTGTCACTGCACCTTTGTGGGGAAGCTGATTGGGATCTCTAGCATCAAAAAAAAACCCACAGTTTTAAAATGTTGTATGAAATAAACAGTATTCTGTTAAATGATGAGTGCACATGTCAGTACTCCAACAAAATGAGTTTTAGATCTAAAGTTAGAAGTAGTCAGCTACTGGGAGGATTTATATCCCTTGTTGTAAAAGACCTTATTAGGAGTGGAGTAAACTAAATCAGCAGAAAGGGTGAGTTATTAATCTGTGGCAGGCTGCAGCTGGGCTTGGTTTTCAGAGCACGCGGAAAGGTCACGTCTTGGATCTCTTTTCTGTTCTGACAGGTACGAGTGGCTGCCTTACAGAATTTGGTGAAGATAATGTCCCTTTATTATCAGTATATGGAGACATACATGGGTCCTGCGCTTTTTGCTGTGAGTACTCAGCTTTCTCATAGTTGTCTGATCTTCTTCTACTCCGTTATCTTAATCCAAGAGGAAGAGTTTTCCTACATTCCCGATTTGTTTTTCATGCTGTCAACCCCTCTCTCCTACCAACATCTATAAAACTAACATCAGATTTTTCAGGCTTGAGACTCCAAAAGTCAGGATAGTGCAGATTGCTTGACTTGCTCTGCAATCCTCCCGAGGTGCTGATAGCTGATAAACTTCTCAATGAAGAGATTGTCTTCAAGAACAGTAACTCTAATGTGGCGTCTGATTTCAGACAAGTTTGGATGTCATACCGGTTGGCCAAAAGTCGGGGCACGTATTTCAGGAGAAAAACTTTCTAAAACATCCTTCTCTCCCCTCCTTTCTTTCATGTCTCTGAAGATAACTATTGAAGCAATGAAAAGTGACATAGATGAGGTGGCTCTACAAGGGATAGAGTTCTGGTCAAACGTCTGCGATGAGGAGATGGACCTGGCTATAGAGGCGTCTGAGGTGAGAGAGCGGCGAGTGCCTGTGGTGGTGTTTGGGAACGCTAACCTCGTTGTGTCTTGACACTCCTCCTGCTCTGCCACGTGGAACTGTGTGGGAGAGCCCTTCTGAGCCCCTTGTGCAGTGTCATGGGTCCATGATGAGACACCATGCACCACTCTGATGCGACGTGATGCATGTCTGTGACAGACGCTGAGACCTGAGGCCGCACAAAGCCGGCGAGGCTGGTTGACTCCACGGGTTTTACCTGCAGCACAGTCTCGTGGTACCCAGCTTAATTTTTAGCTGCTAGCTTGGGTACTGGGAGCTGTCTTAACCCAGAGCTCAGCTAGGATTAATTTATTTTGCTGTTCAATTTTTTGCTGTTGAAGGTAAATGTGAAGCTTGTAGCTAAGGTTGCACAGGGGCCACCATTTGCCATTCCCTTTAATAACTCTTGGGATTATTTTGTAGGCGCTTTAGCCTAGTGTAAAATTCTTAGCCTAGCTTGACTATAACCCTTTTTGCTTACTAGATTAGATTAGGATGAAATGCCTTTTTAAGTGAGCAAAATAGTTTTAATGTCAGCCTGGCTGGGGATTGAAACTACTTGAAATCAAGATTTTGTGACAGTTTTCACCAAAACACACTGTGACATCCAAGTGCAGGTTTTCTGCAGACGCTACGTGACAGCTGCCTGATTTCTTTTTAGCATTCCAACATCAACTCAAGCTACTCCTGTAAGGTTCACCTAAATTGTGCATTAAGCACGTACAGTAGGCACAGTATAATAGCAGAAAATTCTCACTATGAAGATCTTTGAGCTGTTCCTTCATTAAGACAACACCTTGAATTGTTGAGATGTAGGTGCCACACTGAAGGGAGAGTGTTTCTTGCTGTCTTGAAGTTCTAGTGGACTCTTTTACACTGACATAAAAGATTTTTGGGGTCTGTTACAGGCATGAGGGACTTAATCCTACCCCAGTGTGCAAAAAGATTGATCACCTTCTATAAAATACATTATTTATGAGTTAAGGATAAAATTATGGGATGAAATAAAAGTCATCATTATCTCTTCCAACGAACGGAGCTGTTATTGTTCTGCGTGCAGATGCTGTTTGCATAAATTAGCAGTAGAGATCAATAATGGCTTAAACTTTGAAGGGCTCTAGATGAATCATAACCCATCTTTAAAAGTAGCTAAATATATATTTATGTTGAATGCTGAAAAAAAAAAAAAGCAACAAGGATAAAAGGACACTCAGCAGCACGTAGGTTGGGTTTGTACGCTGAAGACCTTTTGCTGCTCCTGCTCGGGGTCACTTGTTAATTATACATAACTGCAAACTGAAAATATTTCTATTTGTACCACGCCAGGAGGGGCTCCATACGTGTGTGGAATGGCAAATTGGAATTGCTTATTGAATATTTAAGGGTGTCCTTGAGGTTCCTGTGTGTTGTGGGAACTTAAAGTTAGTGTTGGGAAGGAGAGGAGAGCGTGCAAAGATAGTTTCTATCTACTGGAGCTCAATTCAAATCTCATAGAATCACAGACTGGTTTGGGTTGGAAGGGACCTTAAAGCTCATCCAGTCCCAACCCCCCTGCCATCAGCAGGGACACCTTCCACTAGACTAGGTTGCTCAAAGCCTCATCCAACCTGGCCTTCAACACTTCCAGGGAGGAGCATCCACAACTTCCTTGGGCAACCTGTTCCAGTGTCTGACCACCCTCACAGTGAAGAACTTCTTCCTAATATCTCATCTAAACCTCCCCTCTTTCAGCTTAAACCCATTTCCCCTTGTTTTGTCATTAACTGCCCTTATGAAAAGTCCTTCCCCAGGTTTCTTGTAGCCCCTTCAGGTACTGGGAGGCCGCTATAAGATCTCCCCGGAGCCTTCTCTTCTCCAGGCTGAACAGCCCCAACTCTCTCAGCCTGTCTTCATAGGAGAGATGCTCCAACCCTCAGATCGTCCTGGTGGCCTTTTCTGGGCTTGTTCCAGCTGTTCCAGGTCTTTTTTGTGTTGGGGGCTCCAGAACTGGATGCGGTATTCCAGATGGGGCCTTACAAGAGCGGACTAGAGGGGCAGAATCCCCTCCCTTGACCTGCTGGCCACGCTTCTCTTGCTGCCGCCCAGGATATCTCATGTCTGTGTGGCCACTGAGAATCATTTTGTAACCTTTTCTTTTTTCTAGGCAGCAGAGCAAGGAAGGCCTCCAGAGCACACTAGCAAATTTTATGCGAAGGGAGCACTACAGTATTTAGTCCCAATTCTCACACAAACATTAACAAAACAGGTGAGTGACAAAATCCCTGCTGCACATCAAAAAAAAAAAAAGATGCATTTTTTGCCTGCTTTCATGTTCTGGGGCAGTGATGGTGCTGTGGTGTGGAGGAGAGAACTGTCAGTGGTGATCATTGCTCCCTGGCATAGGTCACTTGTGGATATGCTTTGTCCCAGAGGTGCTTTAGGTCCTCTGGGGCAGTTTTTAACAGCAGTCCTTGGTCTGTGATGAGACATCATGCACCACTCTGACTGAATGATGCATCGATTTTTAGGGCTGAGACTGTGAGACTGCGTGCGGTGTCGTTTTTTTATGCTGAATTCTCTTAACACATGCTTGTATTTATGGTTTCTGAAGAGGTTTGATAAGTTATCCATATTCCTAACAAAATGTTTGTGAAATTCAAACCCAACACACGGTCTCTGCGTCATCAGAGATCCAATGGCTGGAATTCTTGAGCTTTATTTTTTGAACTGTGAAGTCCCTGTTTATTTAGTACCTATTAAGCACTTCATGGGGACTTGTTTGGACTGTGTTTCACAGTCTAATCAAAATTAATGGAATCACTTGCTACAGCAGGTCTAATTATAAAATAAAACTGTTAATTAAGCCATACAGGATGGAATTAATTTGGCTTACTGCAATGAACTGGGATAATGCTTGGTACTGTTAGCGAATCCAGGGAATTGTTTCCCTCTTTGTTTTGTGTTGCTGACCCTTGGATGCAGAGAGTTAAATTGCAGGAGGTTCTAAAAAGGGTTTGTTAAATCAGGAAAGATAAAACAGATAAGAGAATCACAGGTACAGGGCTTCAAAGGAATTTGGTAAGGGGCTGAGCTAACAGTCGGGGGGAAGAAGCTATTTAACTGGTACAGCAGGGCCACTCTGCGAGGCGGTGGCATGGATCAAAGGGATGAAATCTCAACCTAGATGAGAGAGAAGTAGTTTGGAAGATGTATGAGGCGACTGTAGGTGTGTCAGGGAAGAGCTAGCAGCCTTACACTGGGATGGAAAGGTACAGATGATGTAAGTAACTCAGGTTACTTCTCTGCCAGAGATGTAGCTAGTACTTCCAGACCTGAATTAATTTCTAAATATAACCCTGGTAATAAGGCAATGTTATTTGCAGTGGATCCAACAGGATGCCACTGCCTCTGAGTGATAAGGGATATTTTCCCCCAGACTGACCAGGGGTGCTGTTCTCCTCTTAGGATGAAAATGATGATGATGATGACTGGAACCCCTGCAAAGCAGCAGGAGTCTGCCTCATGCTCCTGGCGACCTGCTGTGAAGATGACATTGTTCCTCACGTGCTGCCCTTTATTAAAGAACACATTAAAAATCCAGATTGGCGATACAGAGATGCAGCTGTGATGGCTTTTGGGTGTATTTTGGAAGGACCAGAGCCTAACCAGCTCAAACCACTAGTCATACAGGTAAGATGCATTGTGTTTTCTTGGAGGCTTGTAGAGCAAAAGCTTTCTGATTTGTTTGGAGGAGGATGCCTGCTTTGCACGCTGTTCTTAACCTGAGGAAAAGAAAAACGATGCCACCTTTTAATCATGTTTTAGAGAGATTTGGTAGACCCAGGGCAAGTAGTTGGGTTACATAAGCTCTGAATTACAGGGACGTGCAGGGCTTGAGAATACCTGACTCCAGATGTGTCAGTTCTCAAGTCTTCCCCCCCTGAGAAATAACTTTATGAATCTTAAAATATGAGAACAATGGCCTAACACTGGGTCTAGATTGTCCTCCCCAGCCTGTCATTATCTCCCAAGGAGTACATTAAAATCAGAAACAGCATCAAACTCCTGTATTTCCATAGGCAATGCCAACTTTAATAGAACTAATGAAGGACCCCAGCGTCGTGGTTCGAGACACCACTGCTTGGACCGTGGGCAGGATCTGTGAGATGCTTCCTGAAGCTGCCATCAATGACATTTACCTCGCTCCACTGCTGCAGTGTCTGATGGAGGGTCTGAGTGCTGAGCCCAGAGTGGCCTCCAACGTGTGCTGGGTAAGTGGATATGAATACACACACCTATATATACACACACACACACGTATATATACTCACACATTTAAAGGAGTTTGAGGTGACTCACGGTTTGGTCATCCAACACACGCAACTGTTGTTAACTGTAAGTTATTTCAGGTCTGTGGTAGGAAAGAATAAAGGAAGAAATGGATTTTAAGGAGAAAAATGCTAATGTTCACTGGGTGTAGAAGTTGGCTTTGGTTTGAACGTGCTGTGAAAGCTGTCCTGGGTACCAGGTGTGGTAGCTGCTTACAAAAGGCGTGCTGGGATTTAGCTTTTTTTCTTGGGGCAGCTGAGTTGCCTTCTTAAGATTAAGGAAGAGATGAGATACCTTGTTCCCCGTTACCTAAACCTGCTTCTGCAGTGATTCCAGAACTAAATTCAGGAGCAGGAGATTTTTTTTGTTCACTTACAGAGCTGCAGTCCCTTGGGTTGGTTTGCTAACTTCAGTTGTATCATCATCTTGATGCATGTCTGCTGCCCAGTAGCATATCTGATCTTTCACTATAAAGAACATGTGTCCCTTACTGCCTTTTAAGAGAGCTGCTCAATAAGAATTGAGCTGGAGATGAGTATTTGCATGTCAAAACAAGTTTTAGAAGTGACAGAATTCATTCTCTTAGTATTCCAGAGATTTGAAGACTTCTAGTCAGCGTGGAAGCTTTTCCCTGATCGGTTGATCCTGGCAAAAGTCCATGTAGCTGTGGCTTTTGTCTTCTGAAGATGATGACTACTGTATGTTTTTAGACTGAAATAAAAATCAGGGGGCTTTCAACTTCTCTAATCCACCTCTCAGAGCAGTTAGGATTGCTCTGTGGTTGGGAATTTGAGCAGCCTTATCTAAACCAGGATTTTAACGAGTGATGAGGATGCTGAGTAGAACCTGTCAGTACCCTGTGAGGCTCAAGCCATCTGCCTTTATTCAGTTTGTTTCTTGACAGCTACTGGTTGTTGAGACCAGTAAGGCTGTGCAGACATTTGACTGCAGACAGTGTGACTGCTTTGCCTGTTAATGTTACGTGTGAAGTCTTTGAAATTTGCACCCAAGTTCAGTGCACTGAACAATAAGCTGTTCCTGAAGTGAGGTGTTAATATTTAAGGGTTTTTTTTTTGGGGGGGATGCTTTATTAGAATGAAAACTGTTGGAATATATGTTTCTGGACTTGTGAGGGTAAACTTCGAGTAATAGCAACGGTTGTTCTGTGTTTCAGGCCTTTTCTAGTCTTGCTGAAGCTGCCTATGAAGCTGCAGATGTAGCTGATGATCAGGAAGAACCAGCAACTTACTGCTTATCCTCTTCATTTGAGCTAATAGTTCAGAAACTTCTGGAGACCGCAGATAGGTAACACTAAACCCACTGGCTCAAGCTCTGCAAAGATGCCTTTTTTTTTATTTTTACTTCAGACCGTTGATCCTCTTTCTTTTGCAGCTTAGATCTGAATGATGTTTTATCAGAATCAAGCTTTTTTTGGTATCACATGGAATATAAAATGCTAATCCCCAGGAAGAAAGATATTCACGCAGAATAATTTCTCAGTATTTTGTCCATATCTGATTTTTAGTAAGTCTGGGGTTTCCTCCAAGATTACTTTGAAATTTCTGAGCACAGTTTTAAGACTGTCCACATCTTTGTTACAGCAGTGATGAGACCTCTTCAAGGTTGGTTACAAGGCCACTGAATAATCAGGATTGCATTAAGAGATAATTAGAAATCCGTGTGTATCGTACAGTTGGTTTTGCTGTGGCTGTTTTACGCCGTGGTTGTTGCTGTGGTGTTACATCCACTTACATTAGCACCAGGTACTCCCAGAAGAGCTGAGGACCTAGTTAAGCTAGACACTGTCCTTTGCCTGACTAAGTTGAAATATAAATAGATGAGGCAAAATATTTTCTCAGTTCTGCAGATGTAAAAAATAAGGGTAATGCTGAAGTCATATTCTGCCTTGAAGGGTTGCGTGAATCTTGACAGCTCAAGAGTTCAATCCTTGGATCAGTTCAGTCATCAGTTGAAGCCTTTTGCTGCAGGACTCCTTCTTCTTAAACGGTGTCCCTGTCTGAACAGTTCAAAGTCTAAACTCTCCCTGTCTCATTTACATCCAACCAGAAGTGTAGTGTCTAGCTCAAGGCTCTGAAGCCCGTCAGTCATCTTGGCGTAGATCTCAGCTGTCTTTATTTCCAATTTAACACCCTCTGACGTCCGAGAGGGATGTCAGAGAGGTAGTAATGTATGCTGCTCACCTCTTGAGACCATCTCATCCCAGCCAGGGTAACAGCACACTGGAAGATGGGGGTTTGAGGTTTTTTCTGCTCCTCTACTTGCAGCCAGTGACTTGAAGAGATTTAAAGTCATTATTAGTAGCGAATGAAAAAAAAAAAATGTTCCAAAAGTGGCTTCAAAAATTTTCATTTACTTTCAAGTCTTGAAGTACAGGAATGCAAGTGCTTCAGCTTGTCACAACACTCCAAATTTTAGCTGTTACCAATTTACTAAAAAAAAAAAAAAAGTCTGTTTCTAAGCAAGCCTGAACATTGGGAGCTGCAAATATATTCCTTCTGTTCCAGGCCTGATGGACACCAGAATAACTTGAGGAGTTCTGCCTATGAATCTCTGATGGAAATAGTGAAAAACAGTGCCAAGGACTGTTACCCTGCTGTCCAAAAGACAACTCTGGTCATCATGGAACGACTTCAGCAAGTGCTGCAGATGGAGGTAGGTAACCCCCCCCAGTTTTAAACCCCTATTACAATCAGGGGTTTAAGGTGTGATGTTGCCCTTGTGCTGTGGCTTCATCTGCTGTAGAAAAATGAGTTTTGTTGCTGACTGCATGTTGTGTGGTATAATGTGGTTTTATTTTTTATATTTTTTTATAGATAGGTAGATATATTAAACTTCTGAACAGCACCTCATCTTAAATTTGAGGACACAGATATTTTAAATTGAATCTCTGGAACTCATAACGCTGTCAAAACCCACTGGGTTTGCATGGACTGTGATGCAGGCTTTTCACAAGTGAGCTTTTGTTCTTTTTCAGTCTCATATCCAGAGCACTTCTGACAGAATCCAGTTCAATGATCTTCAGTCTCTTCTTTGTGCTACTCTACAGGTAAGTTCCTGCCTCCTGTGTTTGTGCTTATGGGGAAGAGGCGGTTTTAGAGACATTTCTGTGCCCCTGAAGATGCAGACTTGGTCCTGTTGATGAAATTGAAATGAGAAAATTGCATCTTGTGTCCCAGCTGACACGTGGGAGGTGTGATACAAGGTTCAGAAGGTTTCAGTAGAGTATGACTTACAAAATTTAGGGCAATATGAATAAAGAAGGCGGCGCGTTGAAAGTTGTGTGTGCTCTCAGGTTGACTCGTATGTTGGCTACAGGCTGAACAATGGCACAGAAAAAAAATAAACCAACTCCATAACGGCTTTAATTTGTTCATCTGCCTCTTGTGGTTGGTGTTCTTATTTAAAATGGCATTACTTAAAATGCACTGAGTGTCCTTGAAATTAAACATCTGGTAATCAACAACCCGTGCGACTTGGTGTACGAACGCGTTTCGGTTCCTCCTACAACGGCCACTCAAAACAACCATTTTTTTCCCCCAAAAAGAACCACTGAGGAGGTTGATCAGACCATCCTCTGACATAGGTGGTATTTGAGGTTGGAGCTTTGCTGTTTGCACGGCAGGGAGGGTGGTTCTGTGCTGTTAATATCCAGTTTATTAACAGTTATAAGGCGCTGCTTTAAAACTGTAATAACCGTGGATTTAGCGCCAGCGCAGCTCTGTGCAGCTCGGAGAGGAAAGGTGTGATGTCTTCTGCAGGTATAACAGAGTAATCTGAAATGAAAGCAGGGCAGAGTATCTGTCTCTACTCTGATTTATTCCTTTGTTGGGAAGGAATTATTCTGCCTGTTCTCTGCAGTGTTTCTTGCATTCTTATCAGCCCAGGAACCGGGAGCCTTTTCCTTGCCTGCAGGTAACAGCCTGTTTCCATCAGTTTTAGCTTCCCATTCTTAGGTTAGATCTCCTGGGTGTTGTCTTCAGGTTGTTTTGAGAAATCATTAACTTCATCCTTCTTGTTTCAAAACCCGTAGCATCAGCTGTTACTTTCACCCTCCAATTTTTAGGGTAATTTTTCAGATAATGGGTATATGGCAAGAATCTCTCCTTGTGGTGGGCTTTAATGGGGAGACATCAGTATCTAGAATCTCTCCTTTTGGCACAGTGTGATCAGAATGCTTCTACCTGTGGGAAGTATAATACAGGTGGAATTAACCCATAGTTTTAATTTGTAAATGTGTGTTTCTTCATTATCACAAAACCTGAAGTATTTACAGTAGTTGCAGCAGATCCTTAAATACCTCTAAGTAAAAATCAGCAGGATTTTTTTTCAGCACTACATAGTCAAGTGTACTACTTTGTGAGATACTTCTTCCAACAATTATGAACATCCAGCAGAGGAAAAACATTTGTTAATATTTAAATTGAACGAGAAAATCAAGACCAATTATTTAAACAGTCAAAGTCAATCTCTTTGGAGTGACTCAGTTTGAAGAATCAGACTTGAAATAATTCTTTTCTTCTGCAGGTTAAGGAATCAGTCTTTCTCTTTTCATAGGAAATGACCAATTTATTTTAAATAAGGATGCATCCAAGCTGTGTTCACATGCTGAAAGGGGCAGTCAGAATGGTAGAGCAGGAGCAGAGCAGAGGTTAAGCTCAGGTATTATTTACCTGGGGTGTTTCCTTGGCCCTTCTGCTCACTGGAGTGTGCTGGATAACACAGAGCACGTGTCTACTCACCAGATCTTGTACCTAAGGCTGCTTCTGCTCTCTCCAGAAATCACTTTGGCTTTTCAAACACCTCAGTGCTAAACCTGTCCCTTTAAACCTATTTTGCATTGGTTGGATGTTAATTTATTCTCTCCTTATCCTGGATAGGAGAGGTTTGACTGCAGTTAGCAGTGAGGATGCTCTTATGTCATATTTCTGAAGTTCAATTCTGTGGTTTAGAAGCAAAGCTGATGTGCAGCCCGTACTTGGCAGTAAGAGATTGCGGTCATGATGCTGTGATGAAAAAGGGTTGGGGTTTTTTTTTTTTCTCTATAGAGCCAAATTTGGGCTGCTCACATTTAATGCCAGCTTACAAATGGAAAGCCTGGAGAATAGCCTATGCAGCAGGAAAGGTAAATTCAGCTTGTTCTCTAGCTGGAAAATTGAATGCAGCTCAAATGAATGGGATTTTGCACTTGCACTGACAAAGCATATTTTTACAGCGACAGAGTTCAAACAGCAGCTTCCTTTTTAGCAGCCCAACACGGTCATGAGCATCAGGAGCTAGCACAGGCACGATTCAGCCTTGCATAGATGGAAGCAATTACAATCTCTTTCTCCATTTCCCACCTAGAACGTCCTCCGGAAGGTCCAGCACCAGGATGCTTTACAGATCTCCGATGTGGTGATGGCATCTCTGCTGAGAATGTTCCAGAGCACGGCGGGCTCGGGGGGCGTGCAGGAGGACGCCTTGATGGCAGTCAGCACCCTGGTAGAAGGTCAGTCTTGTGCTGCAGAGCAGGGTTGTGTTTGAGAGGAGGCAGAGCTGGAACAGAATTGGTTTGTTTCCTTCTCTTTTTGACTATACAGTGAAAAAAACATTCTGAGTTCCTGGTTTTGCTTGAGGTCTGGTTTTGAGCTCTCATCTCACCACATCTATCAGTGAAGCTGTGTGACTGGCTGGTTACTCTAGATTGTGTTTTGTGAATGAATGATTTGTTTTCCATTAATAACATAGCTACAATGCAAATTCAGCCAGAAAAAAAGGAGGGAGGAAAAAAAAAGAGGGGGGGGAACGGACAAAGAAAACCCCACTCTAGTGCTACTTTGTACAGTGCCCAGCACAATGAGAACCTGCTCTTTTCATGCTGCTGCAGGACACATTTAACATTATCTTAATGATTCATATTTGCTGTTGCCTGTGACCCGTGGTGGTTTTGTGGTGTTTTGTCAGTGGTGGATTTACAGTCATTGTTCTTGTTGAAAAGAAATCACGGTGACAAAGATCAGTGTCAGAGTGGGTCAGGATGAATGAGGTAAAATAAAATTGAGGTTGTGGTATTCCAAGGCAGTTTGAGCTTCATGGTTCAGGCTTTGAAGTTGGTGACTGTGGCATCATCTGGAGCTCTGGGAACACACTCTGTTGTCAAATGCTACGTATGAGGGTGAAAATTGAGGTGCTGTTGGAAGTCTCTGTGACCTCGTTGCTGAACAGCTCTGCCTCATCTCTTGTGAAAGCCACGTGTGATTTGGAAATGGGTCTTTGGGGAAATCAGTTTGTAAGGAGGCACATTTGAGTCTTCCCTTTTTCCTGAGGCTGTTATCCTGGCTAGCCTGATGAGGTGGCAGCACCTATTTCTAGTAGCAGCACATGTCTGATTGCTCTGAGAACACAGGACACCTTGTAAGGGCAGCAGATCTGGTTCTGGCTTTTTGGAACAGCCCCTTCTGACATGAGCATGTTTTGGAGAGCAGGTCCTGGGCAGGTACCCCTCTGACTGCTCATGGGAATGGTTGGTGGGATTGCCTGAGGAAGCTGGGAAGTGAATGAGGAGGTTGAGTGGGATCATTGCAAGCCAACCAGCAAGTAAAAATAAAAGTGTGCATCCTCTTGGGACAAAGGTCTTTTCATTTTTGGATAGATGAGTCTGCATTCATGGTCTTAGTAACACAAGGGACTTGGGGATGGTAGGAGTTAGCAGCAAAGAGCAGAAATATTTGACTTCCAACTGAAGAGTGCCCTGCTTGAACTGCACAGCTCTGAAAAGGTTGAGCAGCTCATTCTGAAATGTGATGTGAAAAGGTGTAGAGTTTTCAGCTGGTACAAAGCAACATAATGATGCTGAACCCTGTCTGAAGCGTGTGCCACCGTGTCCCTCTGCTGAGTCTGCTCAGTCAGGAAGATCTCAACATCCTTTCTGAGCACAGAAGGGGTTTGTCTGTCTTCAAAGGCCTGCAAAGAATTGAGTTTTTTCAACTCTCAGTTTAATCCAGATGGACATATTTAACTGATGCTCTGTTTTTGTGTGAGAATCAATTTGTTGTGCTTCTGTGGAACGTGCAGGTTTTGGGGGGGGAGTGGCACGGTGGGTTTGTTTCTGTTTTGTTAAACTCCAGCAAATCCATTGTAAGCTGGGAATTTTTTTCTAACTAGAATATTTCCTGTGCACAGTCTTAGGTGGGGAGTTTCTGAAGTACATGGATGCCTTCAAACCCTTCCTTGGCATTGGACTGAAGAATTATGCTGAGTACCAGGTAGAGGTCAAACCAGGCAGCCCTGTGTTCCCAATCTCTAAATTCTCATCTGCTCACAGATGCTGAGTTCAGCAGGGCTGCATCTGTAAAATACCACAGCTTCTGGTGAGGAAACCAAACTTGGAGGCCCATAGACTTTTCTCTAATTACTGGCTGCACACACAAATTTAGACTCTCTTCTATTTAATTCAGCAGAAGGCCTTCATTGACTTGACACCTGTGTTTTCACAGTGGCTGCAAATTAGTTGGCCCTGATGAAGAAAGAGGTTGCTAATGGTTGTGAATTTCCATTAGAAGGTCAAGTCATGGTACTCACCGTGGGGTGGATGTTTAGACCAGCCAGCTGCTGAATTTGGTAGTTTGTTCAGACCAAGTACCTGTCACTTTGGTGGCATCTGGATCTCTTACCCTCCCCCTTGGTGTGAAGCAAGCTCAGCTCTTTGCAGCTTTGTGATATAAATGATTAATGAAGCAGGGACTCGTCAGCTGCTCTATATGAGGATCGTTATTCTCAGTGGTTTAATGGCTGCAAACTCTCCCCACTACTCGGGGCTTTAATAAGCTGAAGCTGTAAGGATCCTAGTGTAGAAGACTGACTCATTGGGTGGGTGTCTTACTTGCTGTTCTATTTGCAGGTTTGTCTGGCTGCAGTGGGCCTGGTTGGTGACTTATGCAGAGCCCTGCAATCCAACATCTTGCCTTTTTGTGATGAGGTTATGCAGCTGCTCTTGGAGAACTTGGGGGTGAGTGTTTACCTTCTCATTAGCTGGTTAGTAACAGTTGGCTTGCACGCTGAGAAGAAAGTGGGAGGTGGGAGAAGCAGAAGTGTTAGGCATGCTCTGAAGATCTCGTGTTTGACAACTATCTTACTATTTGAATGGAATCCAGATTTATTGGGGGGAAGGATTTACATTTCAAATAAATGTCTTAATTTATTAGCTCCTCCTCCCTTAAAAAAACCCCAAATGTAATGGTGCTGAAATCTCTTCCAGAATGAAAACGTTCATAGGTCTGTGAAGCCTCAGATTCTCTCAGTGTTTGGTGATATTGCCCTTGCCATTGGAGGAGAATTTAAGAAGTACCTAGATGTTGTACTGAATACCCTCCAGCAGGCTTCCCAAGCACAGGTTGATAAGGTAAAACCATGGTGTGCACCCCAGTTCCCTCATTAGAATCATAAATGGGTGAGGGCTGCGTGCACATCATCAGGGACATCACTGAAGTGTGTTTCCTGTTCCCTTTCCAGTCTGACTATGACATGGTGGATTACCTGAATGAGTTGAGGGAGGGCTGCCTGGAAGCTTACACTGGCATCATCCAAGGATTGAAGGGAGACCAAGAAAACGTGCACCGTGAGTACTCGTGTCCTACTCGTGGGGTTTCTGTGCCTGAAGTGACAAAGGGAAGTAGGAAGAACTCTGCTTGGACAAGCTGTTTCACGCTGGTTGTCACATCCATGGGCATATCCTAGTTCATTCCTGTCTGCGTGGGAGTGAATGTTCTGCTGCCTTGAGCAGGGAATGGGCTTGGAGCTCTTCACTGTGGTTCCTCTTCCTCTGGTGAGGAACCCTCTCTATTTCAGAGAGCTCTTTGGGAGCCAGATTCTGACTGTCCGGGGGTGTACTGGAATCCTTTTTAAAGGACAGTCTATTAAACATGAACTGTGCTTCACCCTGCTCTGATAAAGCTGTTTTCTTTCAGCTGATGTGATGCTGGTGCAGCCCAGAGTAGAATTTATTCTGTCTTACATTGACCACATCGCTGGAGATGAGGATCACACCGATGGAGTTGTGGCATGTGCTGCTGGACTGATAGGGTAAGCATCCCCATCCTATGTCAGCTGACAGCACACTCATGAGGTAGGTAAGAAATCTTGGTACAACAGCCTTAATATCCGAAGCTGTGGGGGTTTTTTTATGACTGTCTGAAGTGTTTAACATCAGTTCTGGGTTTTTACAGTCTGGATGTTTAACCCAAGGTGTGAAGTGGTCACACAGGTGAGGTCCTCTAACTGACAGAGTGAAAAACAGTAGGTAGAAGTGAAAGTTGGATGTGTGTTACAGAAATTCCAGATTTGTAGCTTTTTTTCTTTCAAGGCTGACCTGGGTTTAAAAACAGAACACCCCACTCTGTCCTCTGGGGACAGAGGAACTCGTGTCAGGGTGTTTCAGTCTTTTTTTTGTTGCATTTAGGGAAAGCTGATGGGAACACCAGGGAAATCAGCCTTTGGACAGGAGACTGAATATCTCTGCTTAGTCACAAATTCAGAAAACTGTTCAGCTCTCCTCCTGCTGAAAATTAGTGACCATATGCAGCATTTTAGAAAGGATATTAGCTGTGAGTCAGATTTCTTTTTGCTAGGAAGAGCTGATCAGAGCGATACTGGCACATCTGTTTGTGGCACTCAGCCTCAAAGCTTCTCTGTTTTTTTTTCTTCTTCAGGGATTTGTGTACAGCGTTTGGAAAAGATGTACTGAAATTAGTAGAAGCTAGACCCATGATACATGAACTGCTAACTGAAGGAAGAAGATCCAAGACGAACAAAACAAAAACCCTCGCTACCTGGGCGACTAAAGAACTGAGAAAACTGAAGAATCAGGCTTGGTAAGGGATTCCACCCACCTCCTTTTCATGTTGCATAATTATGAGATTGGCTAAACTCCTGTGTTGGAAAGAGAGAGATGCTTCACCAAAAAAAAAAAAACCCTTGTTCTCTGGAAGGTTGTTTCTCATTTATTTTTCCACAAACAAGCCCCATCTGTGGTCTTGTTAAATCAGAACGAATCCAAAGCTAGAAACGCGGTGAACCACTCGGCTTTCACAAGACCAGGTGCAGACTTGAGGGCTTCTTCTTCTCTTTCTGGAGTAGGTCACCCTTCGAGGTGGGGATGATCCTACACTCCTGCAAACGTGGTGTCCTTGGAGCCTGTCGGCTCCTCAGTCCTAGTTCAGAGTTCAGGGATGTAGTTGTGGTTTAGTTTTAGGTGGTCCTGTGAGGAGCAAGGAGTTGGACTTGATGATCCTATGAGGACAGGCTGAAAGAGTTGGGGCTGTTCAGCCTGGAGAAGAGAAGGCTCCAGGGAGATCTTATAGCAGCCTCCCAGTACCTGAAGGGGCTACAAGAAAGCTGGGGAGGGACTTTTCATAAGGGCAGTTAATGACAAAACAAGGGGAAATGGGTTTAAACTGAAAGAGAGGAGGTTTAGATGAGATATTAGGAAGAAGTTCTTCACTGTGAGGGTGGTCAGACACTGGAACAGGTTGCCCAAGGAAGTTGTGGATGCCCCCTCCCTGGAAGTGTTGAAGGCCAGGTTGGATGAGGCTTTGAGCAACCTGGTCTAGTGGAAGGCGTCCCTGCTGCTGGCAGGGGGGTTGGAACTGGATGATCCTTAAGGTCCCTTCCAACCCAAACCAGTCTATGATTCTGTGATTCTATGATTCTATCCTACGGGTCCTTTCCAACTCAAGATACTCTGGGTTGGTGATTCTACTGAAGTGCCTTTGAAAAGGAGCAGATTGTAGAGAGGAGTGTGATGGTGTGTCTGCGTTTTGGAGAAGATAATTCTGTTACAGCTTTATCATCCCACCTTGAGAAGTTCCTTGCTATCCCTATTATTTCTCTTGTAGACCATTTTTTTCCACTTGCTGCTGGTTTTATCTCCTGAACGTGTGGTTTTATGATGTGGTTTTATGATGTTGGGTTTTTTTTGATGGGGAACCCTTTTAGGTTTTATGGTGTTGGTTTTTTTGATGGGAATCCTTTTTTGGTTTTATGGTGTTGGGTTTTTTTTTTTTTGATGGGGAACCCTTTTAGGTTTTATGGTGTTGGTTTTTTTGATGGGAATCCTTTTTTGGGTTTTATGATGTTGGGTTTTTTTTGATGGGGAACCCTTTTTGCTTCCAGATCTGTTACCATTGGGATGACACCTGAGAAAACCCCCCACTGGAAATCTCCAATCTTTTGAGGAAAAAAACAAACAAACAAACAAAAAAAAAAACCAAACCAACAAAAACCAACAACCCAGAAGTGAGGAGTGTGCACGGATGCTGAATGTTTGGGAATGAGAGGAATGAGTGAGTGAGGCTTGAAAAAAAAAACACACCACATTGAAAATCCCGCCACAGCAGCAACGCTGTCAGCGAGCTGAGCACTGACTTGCCTAGAGAGAAAGAGAAACCAACCCAAACCTGGAATGTTGGACATTTTGGGAAGAGGGAATGACCCATTTCTGTCCCAAATAACGTTGTGAGTCTCTTCTGACAGCCCAGGAATCGCTTCTCTTGTCGTGGCCGGCGTGGAAAAGGGAAAATGGTCAGTTTTGAAGGAGATGAATCTGGGTTCAACTGTGGTGCTCGATGAGGTCTGGCTTTGGCTGCTGGGGAGAGATGGAGCCTGGGTCTCCAGCCGCCTGCTCCGTAACCTTTGCCCCCACGATGCTGTCGGGTGCAATGGGATAAGAGGAGAGAAGGGAGGGGAGGGGAGGGGGTGAAGGATTTTCAGTCTAGGGAGTGAGTGTGTGTGAATGAGGCGGTATCCACATTCTCAACTTCAAGTCATTGCAGTTTATCTTTTCCTGAAGAAGAAAAAAAAAAAAAAAAAAAAACACAAAAAAAATTAAGAAAAAAGGAAAAAAAAAATGTTAAAAACAAACAAACAAACAAACAAAAAAAGGGTTAGCTGTTGCATTTCATAAACTAACCGGAGTTCAGTCTACTGATGCAGCGTAAGAGATGGAAAAAAGGAGGTGAAAAAAAAGGAGAAAAAAAATAAAAAAAAATAAAAAAAAAAAATAAGAGAGAGAAGAGAAGAAAATAAAATAAGAAAGGAAAGTCGCTCTTTAGGGCTTTTTATTTTAGGGAAACACTGACGAATGTTCAGAGCTCCCGTTCTGAGTGAGGCTTTTCATGATCACGTTTCATCGAAGCGCCTTTCCTTCCTTAAATATTGTTCAACTGTGAATGTAGAAATGGGGGAAAAAAACACAAACAAACAAAAACAAAACTCTGGCGTTAGAGGGAATAGCAAATAAATTGTCAAACGAGATTTCAGGCTTCAAAACAAAAATACAAATGTTAAGTGCTCCCAATTGGCAGTGAGAACGCAAAGGGAAAAGATCTCTCCTGACTTGTACTGTAGCAGCCCGAACACCCACAAAAAAAAAACCAAAATTGTGCCAAAGAGTTGAAAAACAAAATAAATAAATAAATAAAAAACTTCAGGTAATATTTTGGATTGCAAAAATGAGGATAAATTCAATGTTCAAACAAAAAAAAAAAAGAAAAAAAAAAATCTGATAAAAATGCCATTTGGAAACTGCTTGGCCTTTTGTGCTCTTTATTTGATCAGATTTAATGTGGTATTGGTCTCTTGCTGCACTTCAAAAAAACAAAAAACAAAAAAAAAAGGAAAAAAAAAGAAATTTATATAAAATATATATATACTGACTTGAGCTTACACAAGACGGCACTTGTAAAAGGTTATATTTTTCCACTGCAGTTGAAGATTAATAAAATGGTGTCAAACATTCCCCAATATTTCCTTTTGGTATTCTTGGTCTTTCCAGTAAAAGGGGAACCCATTAATGATAATGATTATTATTTTTTTTTTTTTTTAGTAGAGTAGTACCAGTCTGATGGGCAACTCAGAAATAAATCAGAAATAGATTGGCTGTTTACTGCTTCCCCACTCCTGCAATGTCTTATTTTCACATGAAGGATCAGAATCTTTTAATTTCTTCTTAAAATGAGACTTTTTTTTGCTTTTGAGGAATCGTCCTTTGCTTATCCTGGATGGTCAGCAATAAGCCAAGGGAAAAAAAAAATAAAACAACAGAAGAAAAAAAAAAAACACCATGGAAGAGGTGCAGGGTTTTGAAACTTTAATTGTTTTTCATTTCATTTTTATTAATGCAGCTGTTGATAAACTACCAGCATTTGAACCTGCAGATTAAACATGGGCATTTTTAAAAGCTGCTTGTTGGGAGGGAGAGTAGAAAACCTTTGCCAGTATTTTTATGTTCTTTTTTTCTTTTCTTTTCTTTTTTTTTTTTCTTGTTCTAAAAAGCAACTGAGGATCTGCTTTATTCCCCAATTTCCTCCCCCCCCGCCCCCCCCCAAGCTCTGATCCTGGGATCCATTCTAATGGGATCCACTTTTGTTGCCCATCTGCACTGCAGCATCCACACGAGCTCTTGTACAGGGTATCAGATATGTGCCTTTCAGTGCTGGGTTCAGATCACAGTCGAAGTGCTGACTTTGAACCAGTGTACAAAACAGA